GATGGGTGCAGCAAGAACATGTCCCATCGAAGAACTGCCCTTCGGTCGCAGAAGCTGCCGGTTCATGGCTACCAGTTCGGTTCAGATCGAGGAAACGTAAGACCCGAGTTCGCCAGACTTCGGGCTTGCTGATGCTTTTTGATGGACCCATCCCGAATTTTGACCGTCCAGTCTTTGCAAAATGTCTGCATCGGGAGCCTCCGTCAGGTTTCAGATGGGGTGTCGTTGTTTTCCTGACCGCCCCGTCGAGCCAATCCGAGTCCCCCGAACCCGAGGCTTGCCTCTCCCCGATCGGAGCCACCATGCCACAGGGTATTAGTTGTGCTCTGCCTCGGGCCACGCTAGAAGAGCCAGCTGTTCGCCTGCCGCTCCTCCCGCTCCTCCTCCTCCTCCTCCTCCTCCTCCGTCCCCTCCTCCTCCGTCCCCTCCTCCTCCTCCTCCTCCTCCTCCTCCTCCTCCTCCTCCTCCGTCCCCTCCTCCCTCCTCCTCCTCCTCCTCCTCCTCCTCCTTTTCCTCCTCCTCCTCCTCCGTTCCCTCCTCCTCCTCCTCCTCCGTCCCCCCTCTCGTCCTCCGTGGCCAGTCTGGCCCAGGGCGCCTGGGCGGGGGGCCGATGGGCGCCGCCCGCGTGCCGCGCCCCGGGCTGGCGCCATGGGCCGCCTCAGGACACAGGGCAAGGCCAAGGGAGGTCCCCAGTTGGGAGGGCCACGCCATCGACGAGAAGGACCAGGACGACGACGAGGAGCAGGCCGATGCCGACGACGACGACGACGACGTCGAAGACGCGAGCGGCGACGGCGACGGCGACGGCGACGGCGACGGCGACGCCGACGGACAACGACGGCGATGACGGCGACGTCGGCGGCAACGGCAACGGCGACGGCGACGGCGACGGCGACGGCGACGGCGACGACAACGACGACGGGGACGATGACGACGGCGACGGTGACGACAACGACGGCGATAACGGCGACGGCGACGTCGACGGCGACGGCGACGGCGACGGCGACGCCGACGACGACAACGAGGACGACGATGACGACGCCGGCGAGCACGACGAAGATGATTGCGGCGACGGCGACGGCGATGGCGACGGCGACGACGACGACGACGCTGCCGACGCCGACGACGACGTCGACGACGACGGCGAC